TTTTTTTTTGGTACTGGGAATTGAACTCAAGGCTTTGCACTTGCCAGGCAGGTGCTTGTGGCGCTGAGCTATATCCTGGGCCCTCTTCCTTTTTTTTTGTTTTTCTTGGTTTTTTGAGACAGGGTCTCACTATGTAGTCCAGGCTGGCCTTGAACTCACTCCATAGCCTGGGCTGGCCTGAAGCTCATGGCAGTCCCCGTCTCAGCCTCTCGAGTGCCGGGACTTCAGGTGTGTGCCGCCGCACCCACCTTTTACCTTTACTTTTAAAAATTGTGTGATATGTCATAACCAAAATACTTAAATTTGATTTAAGGAATGGATAAGGATGATTTCTGGTTCTGACTAAACAGTTTTACTAGAAATTAGGCACAAATCCAGAGGAACATTCAGTAGTGGATTCTGCCGAAAGATGAACATGGTTATGCAGGTGAAATCCTACAGAGTTCCCGCATGTGGTTTCGGATAATTCATCCCATACTTACTACATGTTTCCTTTTCTCTTCCTTTCTTTCCCTTGTAGGTAAGGACACTGAACTCCTCCGCAAGGATAGTGCTCATACTTGGAACTCAAATAGAGAAAAGAAGAGCTACCCAAAATCTTCATAGTGCATTTCTGTTTTCTATTTTAGATCCTAAAGTAAGCAAAAGAAGACCATCAATAAGAAGGAGGGAAGACAGCTCTGAGCATTATCAGAGAGACACACACACGCTCATCCTACAAGTAATGTGCTCGTTTTGGCAGATTAAGACCGTCTCTAGCCTCACATTTAGCTGTGTATAACACACCCTCGATGGCGTAGGAGTATCTCCTTCCACACAGGATGCGTGTAGGCAACATGTGCTAAGAAATTGAGGTTGTCACGGCCAGGGATGTAGCTCAGTGGCACAAATACCTGCCTGGCAAGCGCCAGGTCCTGAGTTCGATTCCCAGTACCAAGAAATTAAGGTTGTTCCTAATTCCTAAGCCCTCGTATTTAAAACCATCATTCTCTATTGGAACATTTTAGGAGGACTTCTTTGAACCTTCACTTTATATGCAAAGCCCTGCCCAACAAAACAAGCCCGGAGCAGTCCCTTTGTGCTTAGCCTGGTGCACGCTGAGAGATACAGAGGGAAGCTCGTCTGTACTGACTTTACTGGGGAATGAGTTCTGAAGTCCAGGAAATTAATAAATCATTTTCTTAGCACCTGGTATTTATATATCATTTGGAACCATGATTTTTTATCAAGTTGCTCCAATTCAAGTGGGGGCCGTTGATTCAGTTTCTACCTTTGGCCAGTTACCTCCATGTCAGGTCGTGACATGATTGAGAGAAGGAAATAACATTGTGTTCATTTTTCTTTTTTTTTGTTTTTTGTTTTTTGGTTTTTGGTTTTTGGTTTTTCTCCAGTACCGGGAACCGAACTCACCACCTTGCACTTGCCAGGCAGGTGCTTTTGCCGCTGAGCTAAATCCCCAGCCCCTGTGTTCATTTTTCTGTTCATTTTTCATTTACACCCTGTCTCTGTGTAACCAGCGCATCTTGGAAGTCCTAGTGGTTCTATCGGCAAGAATGAGAGGGTCAGGAAAACCAGATTCTCTTTCTTTCTCTGTATGATACAGATGTGAGCTGAGTGTGAGCAAAGAATCTTCTTGTGTTGCCCAACCCTATTATAAGACAGTAAGCCGGGTGTGGTGGCGCACACCTATAATTCCAGCTCTCAGGAGGCTGAGGCAGGAGAATCACTGTGAGTTCAAGACCAGCCAGAACTGCATAGCGAGACCCTGTCTCAAAAAACAAACAAACGAATAAGACATTAAATAGGATTAGAGCTGAGATTTTTCTGCTGTTTGTTTTGCTGCTTTGTTTTTGGTTTGGGGCGTGGTTTTTCTTTGCTGTTTCTGGAGAAGCGCTTACTTCTAGGGAGACAAGTCAGTGGAAGCAGGGCGCGTGTCTCACCTGTCGGCCTGCCTAGGTGGAAGCGCTGCAGGCGCAGCTGGAAGAGCAGACCAGACTCTCCAGGGAACAGGTCGAAGGGCTCGTGGAGGACAGGCGTGTGCGCATTGAGGAAATACAAGTTCAGCACCAAAGAAATCAGGACCGAGTCAAAGAGCTAACCAAACGGTGAGTGTTCGGTTTTTCTGAGTGGTTTAAAAGCGAACAGTTCTCAGGCTGGAGGTGCGGCTCCGTGGTGGAGCACTTGCCTAATGTGTGCAAAGCCCTGGGTTCCATGCCCAGCACTACAAAAAGAAAAAGGAGCAGTTCTGTACTGCAGTAACGGGATTGTAGAACTGAAACAGACCTTGAAACACTTGTCTTCTCCAGACTTTGCTGCCTCCAGGGAGGTGAATGTCTGGGCTTTTCCAGGCATACCCTTAATCAGTTCTCTTAACTCTGTTAAAGAAGTCGTAAGTATTTCATATGCTCCTTTTAACACGTTTTAGCATTTTAGCTTTATTTGAAAATAAATAAATGTTAGGAAATGTTAGGTTAGGTTAGGAAATGTTCTTTTATCCACCAGTATTATCTTACTCAGTATAATATAGACCTTTTGTTTGGCCCTTCATGATTTTATACCTATAAAAAAATAGCCATGTGCTGGGCATGGTGGCATGCATCTATAGTCCCAGCTACTTGGGAGGCTGAGGCAGAAGGATCGCTTGAGCTCTGGAGTTTGAAGCCAACCTGGGCAATATAACAAGACTGCATTCCAAAAGAAAAAGTACACACTGCAGTCTCTGAGTGTTCAGCATTTTTATTCTTTACCTGCTTGCCTTTCCTTGCCTTTCTGCAGTCTGATTTGGTACACACACACACACACACACACACACACACACACACACACGCACACCCTTTTACCTAAGATCATCATTGACTTCTTAATTTCTAAGACTAGTTGTCCCTTTTCAGTCCTGGTTGTATTCAGTATCCTTCTGTGTATCCAGCATCACGGATCAGCCCCTCATTGAAACTCGCCTCCCCTGATTCCTGGAGCACCTGTGTGTCTCGGTTCTTCCACCTTCTCTAGCCATCCTCACCCTTTTGTCTGGTTCCAGTGGCCAGACCTGTGCCATGAAGATACCCTCCGATGAGTGTGTTGGACACCTTAAATTTACCGTCACGGAAGCAGGGTATTACAGGTATACAGCACTGTCCTAGGCTGTGTATTGTACAGCCGTTCTCACTACTGCGTATTAGTTCTTGCCTTCATGGTTATCAGCTGCTTAAATGTGTGACTGCTGTCCATTTACCTTGTGATGCAGCCTGACACTGCAGCGTGAATTCTTAGGGACTTCATCATCTTGTGAGATGATGATTAACGAATTAATGTTTTAGCCTCAGCTCTTCTCCTGTTGCTTTTTATTGCCTTGTGCTTCAGCCAGACTAATAATAGCTAGTATTGCGGAGCACTTGTTTTGTAGCAGGCACCTTGATAAACAGTGTGACCCCTTCTTTAAACACTTACCCAAAATGAAAATAACTAAGCCGGGTACAGTGGTGCACGCCTGTAATCCCAGCACTTGGGAGACTGAGGCAGGAGGATTGTTGCAAGTTTGAGACCAGTCTGGGCTGCAAAGTGAGCTCAAGGCCAGCCTGCACTGCATAGCGAGACCCTGCCTCAAAAAGACAAAACAAAACAGCCCAGAAAACCCCATCTAAATGAAACAAGAAAATAAAGACTTCCGTAGGCCTAGAAAGTAAATTCTTCTCATCCACATTCCCATGATGACTGGTGAGCCTTTGTGGTGACACTTACCTCCCGCACAGTGTAGTTATGTCTTCTTTCCCAGGGTCTTGCCGTGCAGCGCCTGCCTTGCTCTAGGTGCACAATAGCCATGCAACAAACGTATGTTGGAATACTCGTTGATCCTTATCAAGTTGTACCATCTCTTTTCTGCACTCAACATCTTAAATTTCTAAAAAATGTTCTCCTCTCCCTTTTGTTTTTATAGTAGGGATCAAGTCCAGGGCTTCACGCAAGCTAGCCAAGTGTTCCACCACCCAGCTACACCCCTAGCCTGTAACTTGTAATTGTATATGTTTCTGGAATATTAATAACCTCCTGCTTTAGCGGCCATCTGCATGTCTGAGCACATGATCCCTTCCTCCCATTAAGCAGATCATCTTAAGTATATTGAACAGCTTGAAATCCTAAGCCGGTTGTGGCGAACCTATGGCATACGTGCCGCACCGGGCTGTTCGTATCATTGAAAGCTCTGAAAGGTTCACCAGCACTGTCCTAGGCCATTAATGACTGTCTTCTGCGTGTCACTTCCAAGTCACTTGTACATCGGCCCGTACTTGTATCTATTTGGAATTAAGAATGTGGTATGACATAGGATAAAATTACTCCCTGAAGATAGGAGCGATCCTGTGCTATCTGATGCAGCCTCTCCTCCTTTGCATACACACGTAACGTACCTGAATAAATATACATGTGTTCACTTGAGGCGCCTGCTGTACCCTGCGCCTGCCACAGAGCTATCACTCTCCACTTACCGGTGAACCCTGTTACTGATGAAAGGAACTGAGTGAGTCAGACATGATTTGTTCAGTGCAAAACTATAGCCATTGCTTCATGATACTTTTTTTTTTTTTGTCTTTTCTTCCGGTACCGGGAATCGAACTTACGACCTTGCGCTTGCCAGGCAGGCACTTTGCCGCTGAGCTAAATCCCCAGCCCCTGCTTCATGATACTTAATACTCTCGCAGGCAGTTAGATCGTTCAGTACAGTATTTTTCTAAGTGTTAATTTTAAACTAGTGAGTTGCTGGCTTTTAGGAATATTCTTTTTCAAAGATACAGATATCATTCGTCTAGTCCTAAATCTCAAACATAGTCATTAGAAATCCATGTGTGGCTTGTATGTGTCCTGTAGTTGATACTGTCCTTGACAATCAGTGATGATGGGGCAAAAGTGTACAGTGAATAAGTTGCATGCTTTTACCCCACCTGGGAAAACATAGAAAGTCTAACATGGTATATAGACAAGTGTGAAGCTGGGTTGTCAACTTGATGGATTTGGAGTCACTGAGAGAAGATTGGTAAACACACTTCGGAGTATGTCTGGGTAGGTTATAGAGACATGAACTTGGTAGCTTGTAATCCAAATATACTGCTAGGCTGAGGTAGGACGATTGCAAGTTCAGCTCCTGCTTGGGCAATTATCAATACCCTGTGTTTAAAAAAAAATTGGAACGGGGCATGGTGGCACACACCTGTAATTGCAGCACTCAGGAGGCTGAGATGGGAGGGTCACCGTGAGTTGGAGACCAGCCTGGGCTACAAAGTGAGCTCAAGACCAGCCTGAACTGCGTAATGAGAGCTCATCTCAAAAAGACAAAAGAATAAATAAATAAAATAAAATAAAATGAAAATGGGAAGTAAGGGCTAGGGATACAGATAAGTGTGAAGGCCCTTGGTTTAATCCCCAGTACCTTCACCACCACCACCGCCCCTGCATAAAAAAGGTGGTAGCTCAGTGTGAAGGCCCTGTGTTCAATCCTTAGTAACACACGCACACGCATGCACACACACAAAGTGGCTGACTAATTCATCTGACAGAGGAAATCACAAGGCAAGCCAGGAGTCACGCTGTGGCATGAGTACTGCTGGATGCTTTTAGCCAGAATAATAGTAAGAATTATAGTGGAAGAGGCCACTGCAGTCATTGTCCAAGGGGCCTGGTTGCTGCTTGAGCTGGTGGCAGACCTTGACGTTAACCACATGACAGTGACTGCTCAGGCATGCAGAATGTGAGTATGGGCCCACAGAGGTTCCCACCCAGATCTTGAAGGGAGACCTGGGAGGCCAGGCATTGTGCAACTGGAAGGGGGATGCATGAAGCTGTAGCAATAAAGCTGAAGGTGCAAGCGCCTGCCTGGCAAGCACAAGGCTGTGAGTTTGATTCCCGGTACTGGGGAAAAAAAAAAAAAGCTGAAGGTGCAGCAGAGACCCCAGGAAGTCTGGGGAACATGGAAAGGAACATGGAAAGGAACATGCCAGGAACATGGAAAGTCAACCAAGCTGCAGACAGCAAGTGGAGCCAGCCCAAGAAAGAGGCCGTGTCGGCAGGAGCCATGAAGGCCATAGGGGCAGAACTACTCAAGCCTGCTGGCACTCCTATCTCACCATGTGCTGTGGGTGCCAGGCATAGAACTACCAGACTTAATGTTTGCTCTATTCAGTTTAGGTGCTGCTTTTGTTCTATGTCCTATTCCTCCCTTTTGAAGTGGTTATGTTTACTCTGCACTACTGTATATTGGAGATATATATATATAAAACTTGAAGTTTAAATTTTCAGGGATTTAGAGCTAGGAGTTTCCCTTGAATCTCAGAGGAGATTTTAGATTTGGACTTTGGAGCATTGCTGGAGCTGTTAAGACTTTGGGGATGGCGTTAGTGCACTTTTGCTTGTATGTGGGACAGTTATATTGTGTTAGGCAGAATTACGGCCTGTGTTGATTCGGTGACTAAGTATAATTTAAAGAGATGTGTTTGGGTATCGCATTGACAAGGGGCAGAGTGGGACAGCTAACCTGGATTGTCAAGTGTAATTGGCTTTAGGCAGCTTGGTGGTGCACACCTGTAACCCTAGCACTTGGAAGGCAAGGGACTGCCCTTAATTCCAGGCAGCCTGGGCTGCATATGAGTTCAAGCCCAGCCTGAGCTACTCAGGGAGATGGGGTCTTAAAAACAAAACAAACAGGGCTGGGGATATAGCTCAGCGACACAAGTTCCTGCTGAGCAAGTACAAGGTCCTGAGCTCGATTCCCAGTACCAAAAAAAAAAACACAAAAAAGTGGCTTCAGAGCTGCCCAGGCAAGGAAAACGCGCCTGTGGGTGTGCTTACGGGCTGTGAGGTGTGGCCTTGGGTTCCGCACCTGATTCCCGGCCTCTTCCTCACTCCTACTGTCCTGCCGCTCTGCTTCCTGGCCATCGTGGAGTGAGCAGCTTTGTGTCACCCTGTCCTTCCTCCGTGGTGTTCCTGCCTGGGAGCCAGCTGCCCGTGGAGTAAGTCCTCTGAGACCAGGGGCTGAATAACCCACTTCCTCCTTCAGGCTGTGGGTATCGGGTGTTTGGTCACAGTGACAAAAAGCTGAATATATAAGACAAGGTATATG